TAACCCCTCAGTACAGGGTCACCGGGATGAAGGCCCCTTCCTCGGAAGAGTGCTTGCGTCAGGGAAAACAGAGCACCTCGAAGAGCTGTGGTGGAAGGAAGCACCCGCTACACCCACCCGCAGGGAAACGCCTCCCGCAGAATTCCTCCCGAGGCTGCCAGGATAAGTCTTTCATCCCGACTGAGTTACTCCCGGGAGCGTGGGATCGTCACGCCCAAGCAACGCCAAGCTGCGGGCCAGGAGCGAGCTTTCGGCAGGACAGTTACCGTGCCACGGCTGGCCCTGTCTGTACTTGTCCTTCCCTGGGTCTCAGGCAGCCGGGAACTACGAGCTCTGGTTTTTTAGGCTGACCTAGCACACAAGCTTGGCTGATCCAGCCGGTAGTATCGGCATTAAACTGCCAGTCAGACTGTAGGAACGCAACACCCTTCCCACCAAACAGAACCGGCATTATTCCCCCTCATTTGAATGGTGCAGTTTGGGGGAAAAACCCCACCAAGGCAATTTTTGTAACAAGTCTATATTTCTTCCAAAACTAAAGATATGAACACTGCTCCAAAACCGAGAGCAGGAACCAGCCTGTGCTCGGCAGGAGCAGAACCAGTCACAGTCTCTGCTCAGCATCACCGGGCACCGGAGCTCTCCAGGGCACCATGGGACGCCCGGACAAACACCATGTCCCGCCTGTACTTCATGGCAGTGGGTGGCTGGCGTCTCAGCAGCTGGTCACCGCTGTCCTGTGGGTCGGGTTCATCATAGATGGTGGAGATGAGGATGGGAGCGTCCCACCGGGGCTTTTTCACCTTGGTGAACGTTGGTAGTTTCTCCCCGTGGTACCTAGAGAAGCAGAATGCGTTTGGTCCGACACTGCCGAGGCAGTGGGACAGCCCTGTGCATCCCAGCTGATTCCCTGCTGGGAAGAATGGTCCAATACAGGGAAATAAGGATTCTTGTCTTATTCCTGGCTGCAGGATTGCTCCAGGAGGAGAGCAGCCCTCGCACCACACAAAGCCTCCAGAAACCCCGCAGAGAAGGGAGGGATGCGCTGCTCCCCTCCGGAATCCCGTAGCAGAGATGACCCTCAATCTTCAAGCGCAGCTCTCCCTCGGTGTGTGCGTGCTCCAGGAGCCTGCACATGGTTCCAGTCCTGCTCTAACACCACAAACTCCTCTAAGGAGCACTGGAATGCCAGGAAGAGCG